CATTACATATTAACTATATTAATATATTGGTGCCAGGTCGTTGTTTTTTTATGTGTTCATTTATGTGTTCATTTTTAACAGTGGGTGCTATGGCTCACATTCTGCAAACAACATAATAAACACAGGTAACATTATTGCTGGACATTAACTCTTAATTGAACTTCAAGCTTAAATCAGCTAAATACCTTCCAGGTGCATCAAAATAAATGGTGTTCAATGATGTAACCCATCAGCATACCCTTGCTCTCTGTGAGGAAGCAGTGGTGTCTACAGAGTTAGAGTCCAATCTGCAAAGCTAATGCTCGCTGACGATTGGAGAGCTCTAGCTTGGACTCAGCAGTGGACGTGTTGGAGCTCTGCAAAGAGTCCACTGCACTGCTTCCACATAGGCAGCAAGCTGGCAGGGAACAATCTTTTCTACTTATGATGTGGCAGCTTTCTAAAGAAAACCAACTGATTTTGCTTTTTGATGCACCTGGAATTTTTTTTTTCTGATTTCATCTGAAAGGTCAATTGGGCTTGAATTAAAATGCTATTTCTTCATAGCAGCAATTAGCTACATTAGTTCATAACTATGGAAAGCAGTCATTAGCCTTTATTTGTAATAGTCGTGTGTAGTGTGTATAGGGGGTTAACATGGACAATTTTCAATATAAAGTTACAAATGTTCTTTTACTACCCTGCTGCATTGTTTGGAATGACCATCCTATAGAAGGTCTCTCAAAGAAAAGAAGGTGTTGAAAGGTAGCAGTGTTAATAAGGATTTGGTATGGACAGTCTAGAACTTTCCAATGATTCCTGACAAAAGTATCCGAATTGTCCTGTTTTAAAAAAAGATTGTACCTCAGTATGGTTTGTCGGTGAGGATGAAAAATATTGCTTCTAAACACTTAAGGTGCCCATACACCTTACGATTATCGGACAAAACTTTTCGTCCGATGATCGAACCATCGTATGATTTTCGTACGACGGCCCCATCCTGCCCCGATTATCGCAAGGTTCAAATCAGCGGTAGTTAAAAATAAAGACCTGGACGACTTGCGGTAATTGACCGTAATTATTTTCGTTTGCGCAGTACGACTTTTGACGGACGGAAACGCCACCAACCATGCGAACATCGTGCGATCGACCAAAGTTTTCAAACATGCTTGACCGTCAAAAGTCGTACGATTGTACAGTACTATCGGTCGGGCACTCTATTCACACGTTACGATTGTCGTACGACAAGTCGATCACATACGATTATCGTACGATAATCGTAAGGTGTATGAGCACCTTAAATTTAGATGTCAGACAGTATGAACTTTTTGCCCTAGACATGTCTATGAAGTCAGTCAGTTTAATTATCAGTTAATTGAATCAGCCAGACTTGTAATCAGTATATGTCAGCATCATTTAGTGCAAGAAGTGGAGAAATCTAGAAAGCAAATGCATTTTTTATGATAGAGGAAGCAGATTAACCGAGAAAAAGTTATGAAAGATCTATTTTTTTTTCTGAAGAAAAGAAATGTAAAAGTTTAGCATCATTTTTATATGACTAGTACCAATATAATGTCATTATAAGTATGTGAGCAGAACAAACTTCAAATAAATACTGTATCTTATGTACTATTGTTGATACAAAATTAAGTATACACTGACTGAACTGTCTATTGGCACCGTTATCTCTGTCTATAATTAATGAGCATGCAGAATATTATCATTAAACACAGTAACAGCCCTACTGCTGAGCAGAATTAGCACATGACTGTCCTACACTGTGCCAGGTAGAGATAGAAGTCTGACACAGTGCCAGGCTGCAATGTGACTGCGATAGAGTTTCTGAAAATTGATCTCCAAGCTGAACAGAAAATGTAGTCCTAAATATGAAAAGCTGTGCTTTTTGTTTCTGGATGCTAGCACTAGACAGAAAAGTCCTTTCACAAGATGTTTGGCTTTAGGGGTAAAAATAGGGTCCTGCTTCTATGTGCTGGACACACAGCAGCCATGTGAAATGTAGGCTGATTTAGCATGGATCCTCCTCTTAATCCAAATAGCACTCCAATAGAAACATGCACCTAGTGAGAACTGTTCTCTTTAGGGCCTCGATTAGACGGTGGCTGCCTGTGAAAAGCGATCTGTGATGGCATTTAGGATTTTTTTATCCCAAGAGGGATATTTTAATGAACTACCATACTGCAACTGTGTGCCAACCTCTGTGGTTGCTTTTGGCACAATGTTATATCATTTTTGCCACGAAGGAAAGCATCTTGGCCGTGGCAATGTATACAGCACTCTCCAGCAACAATGCTAACATTGCAGCAGGTGGATGGGGAGCGTTAAAGCTATGAATCAACTGCCTGAATTTACCACCCTTTAGCCACCTGTCTTAGTTTCAAGAGTTCATACGGGCAGCAGCCTCCACTGCCCTCTTAAAAGTGATCCATGGTGGAGCAGTGGCTGACTGGCATTCAGGAGGTGATACTGCTTCCTTCTGAATGCAGGTTATTTATTTTTTCAATCCCGATGGGGATTTGTATTGCTATACCTCAACTGCGTACCCATGCATTTTCGGCACGGTCCCATTCATTGCAATGATCATGTATGTCAAGCGGCACCGCCTACCAAAAGTGACATGTAAATTTTTTTCTTTTTGGCCGCAGTACAGACATTGTAACGCTCCATTCACACATGAGAGGCTTTCCATGCGCATTCAGCTGTACAAATACGCACGGAACCGCTGTAAACATAACAAACAATGCATTTTAATGTGCATTGTTCAGACTATTGCAGGGATTGCGCGGTACATGTCCTGCAAAATGGTCCAAGCACAATTTCAGGGGCGGTTTCTGCACGTTCGCGGCTAGCCGCAAACTAGTGGAATACGTGCAGATGTAAAGATTTTACCAATTTCGTACCGTGCGGTCCTACGCACGGAAAGCCATACGGGAGACGCAAACTCTATATGTGAATGGAGACTAACATCAACTGCCTGCCGTTTTACCGTCCCTTGCCGTACGCGCGATCGAGGCATAAATGAGGCCTTAGGCTTAGTTCACATGGAATTCAACTTGTATAAGAGAAGTGTAAACACCAAGTTTTCAGCAAGCTTCCAGCAACTTTCTTAAAGCCTTTAAAAGCAAAATTCAGCTCGAGTTTGGGAATGTAATCATAATCTTAAATAGGAGTGCTGTCACTTTAACCCCTTCATGACTGAGCTTGTTTTTGGTTTCTGTTCGTAAATGACTGACACACTTTTGACATTTTTGCTGTGTGATTCTTCCACGTCAGTAATATACTTTCTTACAAAGTGCACCCACACATATTATATATTGTTTTTTAGAGGACAGATAGGGCTATATATTTATATCACATATGTGTGTCTAACGCCTCACTTAGCACAAATACAAATTAAAAAAAGAGGAAAAAACGTAAAAAAAAACTTTTTTCCCCAGTTTTGATTTGTAGTATTTTTTTTTAACAAAACCAGCACAGCTAAAAAAAAATGCAATACATACATTCATTTATTTGTCCCTTATTTTTAATTTTTTTACACTTTTCACTATTTTTTTTAATTTATTTACACTTTTCACTTTTTTTATACTGACAAATTTTATTTATTTAATTATATCAGGCAGTCATTGTGAATTAATCTCACTATTACTGCTTGATAAATTAATACATTTTTTTTTATTATCAGGCTGCTTCAAACTTCAGAACAGCCGATAATAAGTTAGTGACACTGATCCTGCAGCAGTTCAGGATTCAGCTGTCAGTGAATGTTTCAGAAAACTTAAACATTCTACTTTCAAGAATAGATACATTATGTGTCTAATACATAACATTTTGTATCTATTCTTGAAAGTCAAAAGATAAAAAAAAAAAAAGCCAGTATAGCTTGAGAGAGATATCTCTCGATCTATACGAGCTGTCAGAATGCCGGCAAAAGCCGACATGTGTGTCTGCTTTGCTGTGACTCTCAGACACCCGATATTAAGGTATCGGGTGTCTGAAAAAGGTTAACCCTTTCAGTAATGGATCTCTAGATAGTTAGACATCTATTACTGAAAGGTAACCGCTGATTCTCAGCGGTTAGCAGCCTTCTAGTGCAGCAAATAACTCGTCACGTACAGTGTACATGACGAGTCATTTGGTCCCTTTGTGGCTGGACGTACAGTGTACGTCTCCCGTCACGAAGGGGTTAAACAAGCTGCTAGCAAGCTTTCGACAAGATTTAAGTTGTACTAAAGCTTACTAAAGCCTGCTAGCATCTTGTTTAAAGTGACAGTCAGCGCTCATATTAAAGTAGGCCTTTACACTCACAAATCAAATTCTACCAATGCATCCCTCTATGTATGATGATTAATAATAACATAGACATGTCAGGTGTAAAATGCTGTGATTTTGAAATACTTACACTTGCAGAGCATTCACTTCCTGCTTTGAAAGGGCAAAATGACTTCAGTTTGCCAAAGCAATGCACACTGGGATTGCCTTGTCATCAGCAGAGCATTGCTGGGAAATCTCATCTGCAATCTCATGAGATCTCAGGGAAAGGCATTTTCCTCCGCTGAGATGACGTGCATGGTCACATGTCCTAGTCACGTCTAGTCACATGTGCAAGAAATCCAGAAAGTAAAAGGAGAGCTAGTAATCTGGCCTTAGTAAACATGGCCACTGTCAGAAGACTGGGGAAGAAAAGAGAAATAAGATATGCAAAGAATACAAAGCCGGCAATTATGTAGAAGTGTGTGATTGTAGATTGTCATTACTAAACATTTCTAAAAAGTGTGTTTGTTGTTATTTTAAAGATATGGGTAAAGGTCCGCTTGATCTGTGTTTACATTCCCAAACTTGGGCTGAACAGTTCTTTAAAGGCCAAGTTTACTTTTTGGACCATGTTTCATGTTACATCCATAGTCTGGTCACATGGAAACCCCCGCCCCCCTCCTTTTGTATTAAAGTAGTTTCATATTGCTGCAGTATACTATACTATAAACTGAATGTATATCTTTTTTTAGCTGCCATTCTGCAATGGATAACGAAGCATTTGACTGCCAGAGCTGTAAGGAATCTCTCTATGGAAAGAAATACACCGTTAAGGATGATAATCCCTACTGCGTCAAATGCTTTGAAACCCTTTTTGCAAATATATGCGAAGGATGTAAAAAACCCATTGAATGTGATGCCAAGGTAATACTAACCTTCATGTATGTACCTATTTTTAACAAGCTGTTTGCCTTTTATATTTGGCATAAATGAAATTAGATATTGCAGAACAGATTAAGACACTGCAAAAATATATATTACTCTTTAAATGTATGTGGGCCTTGCTGAGTAATCAGCAGTGGACAATCAACAGTTTATTGCCCTTCATTTACCTCTGCCAAACTATTACAATGCGCAGCTAATTAGCTGCTTACAAGCAGCATGAATCTGAACCATAAGACAGTGTTCTGTGCCTGTACAGTACACAGAATGATTCATGAAGGATTTCAAGTTATTATTACATTTTGACATTAAACTGTACACTGCCAGATGTGTCAGAAACAAGTTATCTTATCTAATGAATGAATAGCTACAAGTGAAAACATCTTGTAGTAGGTGACAGATTCTTTCTAAGGGCTGGTTAACACTAGCCCTGTTAGGCTGCATTGGGTAGCATTGCTCATCGCAGTCCCAACACAACAACAAGGCAAAAGCTTTGCTTTGTATCGAGCGTGTTCACAGCAATGCAGCACATTACAACATATTGCAATGCATTGCATAGAAATAAAATAGAGGTTTTTTTTTTAAATAAAAGAAAAAGAGCACTGCAATGCATTAGAGCAAGTGATTTGGATTAAGAGATTTATCTGGAGGAAATAGGATTGAAAAACACTAGACAACAGATGACATTAAAACACATGCCAACGTGCATAAAAACACAATGCAATAGTCATACAAATGCATGTTAATACATGCATTTTCAAAGAGTTATGTGCAGTATGGTATGAAAAGGTCCTCAGTGTCCTTTTCTCCAGTTCAGGTCTGTTAGTCTGCTCAGTCTTACGGAGAATAGTAGCCTCTATGTAGGGGTGCTGCTTAAAATGGAACTCAAGCCCCAAGGTTGCATGCATTCGCATCTGTAGAATCAACATAGAAAAATCTTTATCTGAGGTCCCGCATATAGACCATATTTTAGGATGTACACATATAAATGTTTGTGCTAATGTTCATGTTTACAAGATACAGTGCAAATGCATGCTATTGGAGTCACCTAGCATCCTTCATTGCTAGGGTGCAGGAAGCTCAAGCTGCTTAGAATCCTTTGTTGATAGGATGCAGATGGCTCAAGCTGCTTAGAGTCCTTCATCGCTTGGGTGCAGATGGCTCAAAATGCTTGAGTCCTTCATTGCTAGGATGCAGGTGGCTCAAGCGGTTTAGAGTCCTTTGTTGCTAGGATGCAGGTGGCTCAAGCTGCTTAGAGTCCTTTGTTACTAGGGTGCAGACGCTTTAAATTGTTAGAGTCCTTTGTTACTAGGGTGCAGACGCTTTAAATTGTTAGAGTCCTTTCTTGCTAGGATACAGGCAACTCAAGCTGCTTAGAGTCCTTTGTTGCTAGGATGCAGGCAAGTCAGAGTCATTTGTTACTAGGATACAGGTGACTCAAGTTGCTTAGAGTCCTTTGTTGCTATGGTGCAGATGGTTCAAGCTGCTTAGAGTCCTTCATTGCTAGGATGTAAATGGCTCAATGTATTTAGAGTCCTTTGTTTGCTAGGATACAGGGGACTCAAGCTGCTTAGAGTCCTTTGTTGCTAGGGTGCAGACGGTTCAAGCTCCTTAGAGTCCTTCATTGCTAGGCTGTAGGCAGCTCAAGCTATTTAGTGTCCTTTGTTGCTAGGATACAGGTGACTCAAGCTGCATAGAGTCCATTTTTGCTAGGATTTAGTCGACTCAAGCTAGAGTCCTTTGTTGCTAGGATGCAGGAGGCTCAAGCTGCTTAGAGTCCCTTTGTTGCTAGGGTGCAGGTGGCTCAAGCCAACTAGCATCCTAGCAACCATAAGAGCACCTTTGAACTAAACAATGCACAAACTTTACATGTGTAAAGAGCACTTTTTCCACAGGATCTTTCTTGTCGGCTTCTGCTAGAAAGATTCTGCATGCTTGTTTCCGTGTTTTTATACTATTGTGTGCATGAGCCCTAATTCAATAGAGATGTACTCAGTAGCTCACCAGCATTTTTCAGCATCAACTGATCTTTGTACGAGTATAAAATCCTAGGGTTCTGGTGTACAGTCTAAATCCCCCAATTCCTTTTACCAACCTAGCCTGCAAGTGCTGAATATTGAGGTTTAGTAGTTAGTAAACAAAAAAAGTGTTAATATTACATAATTCTTAGTGCTCCTATACACAATTACTCTATAACCCTAATACAATCTTCTCTAAACTTTGACTTTCTATTTCTAAATTACAAACCTCAAATGGCTTACCTTATAACTTTTTAGCTGACAAGACACTAGGATTTGCAGGGTCTTATGGAGCCACCCTTGTATGTGCTAGTAAGCTGGGTGTGTCTCCACAAACACACAGGCACAGCAAAACCAAGCCACTCCTCTGCTCCCTTCTTTTCCCTTCTCTAGGCTAGTAGATGGACAGTTGCTGCTCTGTCTCTTGTTGTCCTGTACTTGACAGGAAGTTCAGGGAAGCACAGCTGTGACAGTTGGGAGAGAGCTGTTCTAAAACATAATGACTAAGTGCTTGGGCAAAATTTTAATGAAATACTTTGCTGAACAATTTATATTTGTTTGATCTGGATTCATTAGTGAAAGAAAGTTTAAAAGTTTAACACTACTTAGTAGTAAATAGCAATAAAATGATCAATCAACCACCACATCAAAATCAATAACCACTGTGGATCTTTCCCATAATGTTTCAAGAAAAAACATAGATATATTTTATTCATACATGAATAGTTTTATATGTTTATTTTGAAGGATCTTTCCTACAAAGACAGTCATTGGCATGAAGCTTGTTTCAAGTGTGCCAAATGCACATGCTCTTTGGTAGAGAAGCCATTTGCTGCCAAGGATGAGCTGCTGCTGTGCATCGATTGTTACTCCAATGAGTATTCCTCCAAGTGCTTCAACTGTAAGGCCACCATAATGCCTGGTAAGACTTCTTCACCACAAGCAAATAATTTATGGGACTGTTTATGAATTTTTAGTTACAATACAATATCCTGCACTTGAAACAAGGACAGTGATGACTAACCTTGTTAATCTATGTTTATCACCTTTGCATAAACTGTATTCTACTAAAGTATTACAGATTTATTTTTACAAAATGAATGTTCACATAGAATAAGGCAAATCTGTGCTGAATGTATTGGGTATTGGAAGTTAAAAAAAATCTTCACCATATTGGAGAAGAGGTACAGCCTGGAGAGGAGGTAAGTATTGTCCTCAGTCTTCAGGGTGAAAAAAGGCTATGTATCATTCAATCCAGAAGACTGAGGACATCTTGTAGTGGAGAAGAGGCACTGCGAGATACACCCTGGAGAGAAGGTGAGTATTGTCAACAGTCTCCTGGGTGAAAAAAGGCAGGGCATCATTCAACCCAGAAGACTGAGGACATCTTGTGGTGGAGAAGAGATACTGCGAAATGCACCCTGGAGAGAAGGCGAGTATTGTCCACGGTCCTCTGTGAAAAAAGGCTGTGCATTATTTAACCCAGAAGACTGAGGACATCTTGTAGTCGAGAAAATGTACAGTGGGATAAGGCCTGGAAAGAAGGTAAGTATTGTCCACAGTCTTCTGGGTGAAAAAAGGCCAGGCATCATTCAACCCAGAACAACTGAGGACATCTTGTAGTGGAGAAGATGTACTGTGGGATACAGCCTGGAGAGGAAGTGAGTATTGTCCTCAGCAGGGGCATAACTAGAAATCACAGGGCCCCATAGCAAAATTTTGTGTGGGGCCCCGTGAGTGCTAGTTATGCCACTTGCAGAGCCCACCTGAGTGACCCTGCAGAGCCCACCATAGAGTCTCTAGTGGAGAAGAGATACTGCGAAATGCACTCTGGAGAGAAGGCAAGTATTTTGGACAGTCTTCTGGGTGAAAAAAGGCTGTGCATCATTTAACCCAGAAGACTGAGGACATCTTGTAGTCGAGAAAATGTACTGTGGGATACGACGTGGAGAGAAGGTGAGTATTATCCACAGTCTTCTGGGTGAAAGAAGGCCAGGCATCATTCAACCCAGAAGACGGGACATCTTGTAGTGGAGAAAATGTACTGTGGGATACGACGTGGAGAGAAGGAGAGTATTATCCACAGTTTTCTGTGTGAAGGCCAGGCATCATTCAACCCAGAAGACAGGGCATCTTGTAGTGGAGAAAATGTACTGTGGGATACAGCCTGGAGAGGAAGTGAGTATTGTCCTCAGCAGGGGCGTAACTAGAAATCAGAGGGCCCCATAGCAAAATTTTATATGGGGGCCCACTTGCAGAGCCCACCTGAGAGTGACCCTGCAGAGCCCACCATAGACTCTCTATAGTGGGCTCTGCAGGGTCTCAGGTGGGCTGCACACCTCTTTCCTGTCAGCGCTGTCCGCCTCCGTAGTCGCCGGGGCCCCGCCTCATCTTCTGTCCCCGGGCCCCACCTCCTCTTCTATCGATGGGCCCCGCCTCCTCTTATATCACTGGCCCCACCTGCTCTTAGGTCGCTAGCCAGTGATGTAAGAGGAGGCGGGGTTGCTTTTAGACGGGCCCCGCCTCCTCCTTCACTGCGAACGCTGGCCTCTTCTGCCGTAGCTGCTGGCTGTCCCTGACACAGCTCCGCAGCGGCTATGAGGGGAAACGCCACTGCTGAGCTGTGTCAGTGACAGCCAGCACCCTTACATGCCATAGCGACCCACACGACATCAGAGGGATGCCCTGGCCGGGCCCCCCTGTGTCAGGGCCCCATAGCGGCCGCCTGGGTCGCTATGGCGATTGTTACGTCACTTTTCCTCAGTCATTTGGGTGAAAGAAGGCCAGGCATCATTTAACCTAGAAGATTGAGGACATCTTGTAGTGGAGAAAATGTACTGTGGGATACGGCCTGGAGAGCAGGTGAGTATTGTCCACAGTCATTTGGGTGAAAGAAGGCCAGTCATCATTTAACTTAGAGGACTGAGGACATCTTGTAGTGGAGAAAAGGTACTGCGGAGTACAGCCTGGAAAGGAAATGAGTATTGTCCTCAGTCCTCTGGATTATATGAGGCTGGCTGGGCAACATTCAGTGAGGAAGACTGAGTAAATTTAGTAGCAAAAAGGAATTTGTGGGGGAAGGTTGGATTGAAGGTGATATTGCAGAGTTGGGCTTTAATCAGGAGCTCTGTAATTGAAACAAAAGGCTGCCATTGAGTTCTAGTACAATTTACATATTAATGATGGTTGCAGCTTGTGTAGCTGCTGATGACTGATTGTTTTCAGCTGCCTTCACTGTTAATGTTGCAGAGTCTCTTAGCAAGGAAGGTCTTAAGTCAGCAATGAAGTCAAACTAATACTCTTCCTCATGTCCTTACTTGCCAAACAAAACTAGAACTACTATAACAGACAACAAGAACCAGGGAATGTATTTTAGACACCCTGATTGGAAATGTTTGCTCATGCTACTGTGGTTGTTCTAACAATATATGACATTTCAGAGTGAATAAAATCTTTCATTGTGTACATTTCTTTACACATGCCGTACATTTTTTTTCTTCTTGCAGGTTCTCGTAAAATGGAGTACAAAGGGTGTAACTGGCATGAAACATGCTTTGTCTGCCAAAGCTGTCAGCAGCCCTTAGGAAGCAAGCCATTTATGCCCAAACAATCCAGTTTATACTGTGTGCAATGTTTTGAGAATCAGTTTGCAAGTCACTGCAAATCCTGCAAAAAGGTAAAATGTTCTGGTACATTTTGAGTTGAATTATTCAATTGGCCTCAGCATTTTTTCTGTAAATACTCATAGTTTACTGACAGATGTTGTATGGAGATAAGACAATGAGCATTGGGGAGAATGTAGAAACCCACAGCAAAAATCATGAACAGTGAGACATGATTGGCTGCTGTGGGTCACTGCATTATACACATTATTAATGCTTTTAGCACTGCTAAAGACTTTTGATACCTTTTTTCCACTGGGGAGATTTCCCATTGCTTTTTTTGTCCCACTAACAGCAGATAAATATAAAATATTAAACACACTGCCAGCAGGGATCCTGACAGCATTAACAACTTGAAAAAGAATGCTAACCCTTCTCTGCTCTGTCCAAAAAAAAAAATACAAAAACATTTTGCTATAGATTCACTTTGAAGCTGAACTGAAAACTGAATTTTAACTGTCATCGGTCTCTTGTAATCCCTCTACAACGGGGTTGGGGTGTGAGGAAAAAAGCAGCACAAGGAGCAAATCAGTTCATGTGCTGACAAGAAGCATACTGTTGGGAGAAGAGAGCAGATTGACAGAAATGAACTTATTTCTGTGCTGTTTCTCCTTTTACTGTCGAGTCTGGGGTGGGTCCAGGATGGCATTGGCTCAGAGGAAGTGGGTTGAATGATGCTGGCAATCAGACTAAGGACATTTAGCAACAGAAAAAATGTATTTAGGGGGACATATGTATATTTACTGAATATTGCAAAAAAAGCTAGTTTTGTTATTTTATCTTTCAATGTGCTACTTATGTTTCTCTTGTTTTGCTTTAAGTATAATTATATTTCTTATTTCATCATCTGAAAGAGCTGCACAGCACTAACATGCACCTTGCATTTTGAAATAGGCTATCACCAAATCAGGAATTTCTTTCCAAGATCAGCCGTGGCACAGTGAATGCTTTGTGTGTTCGAACTGTAAGAAGATGCTGGCGGGACAGGAGTTCACTGCAAAAGATGAGGATCCATACTGTTTAGAGTGCTTTGGTAATCTGTATGCCAAAAAGTGCACTGCATGTGCAAAGCCTATTACTGGTAAATTCCATATTGTTAGTAATCAGAGCCAGAGATGCGGTCCCCCTCCCCCTTTAGGTCTAGTAGGAATGTTAGGAGGGACCTTATATGTAAAAAAGTAAATAAATGCGTGGGGTTCCCCTACAAATTCCTACCAGATCCTTAAGGTCACCCCAGTGCCCAAAAATTGACAAAAGAAAATGTGGTGTCCCCCTATAATTCCATATCACACCCTTAATCAAAGCAGTGGCCTGACAGGACAGGAAAGGGGGGGGCACGAGTTAGCACCCCCCACACCAAACCAGGCCACATGCCCTCGACATTGGAAGGGTACTTTTTCAGGGGTGGACCCCCTGGAAAAGCACCTTGTCCACAGGCCGATGAGGACAAGGGCCTCTTCCCCACAACTCCAATCTCCATTGATACAATCCACTGGTCCATTACATCGTCCAGCGATGTAGATCCTCATCAATCATGCTAAACAACGCCCCCCGACTCACCAAAATAAAGAACATTTCTGTTGCCCGCTGACCGGTCCGCTACCACTGAACTCCAACCTCAAAATTACGTAAGAAATGGGCGTATCGAGTCGTCACAACTTGCTGCGCCCATTTGTTTTCATTCCATGACAGCTCTGTGTCCTCAATTGGCATGTTAACAAAAGGGCTCATCGAATCCCTTAAGGGTCTGGTATGAATTTGTAGGGAAACCCCCCACAAATTTTTGTTTTTTTTACATCGGGTGTCCCTTCTAACGTTCCTCCCAAACCTAAAGTGTCTGGTATAAATAGGGGAGGGGAACTGCACGCTGTTTTGTTGTGTTTTTTTTTGTATACTTTTTTTGAACAACTAGCGGGGACTTGGTCTGCTTCGGCAGACCGTTCTCCCCGCTCCAACTGTGTGTTCGGCTTTGCCGAGCCACAGCATGTGCGTTCAGCTCAGCTGTGTGCTTCGGCTGCCTTCGGCTTCTGTACGCGTTATTGAGACAAGCATGTACAGAAGCAACCCTTTGCTTCGGCCGAACCAAAGGGTTGCTGTAGCCGAAGCGAGCCGAAGGATTAGCCGAAAGTTCGGCCACATCTTTCGGCTCTTTAGTGAATAACCCCTATATATTCTATTGAAATTAAAACATTAACAAATTACACATTAAAATAAAATGTGAAACAGACAATATACAGTACATGGTTTGATGTTTATTCGTTGTGTGCACTTCAGGCCAGTACAGCAGACTTGTAGTATATAAATTATGGAAGATTATCAGATAAATAAAAAAAATCTATTGAATTGATCTTGAAGGGAGCAGTAACAGAATCAAGAAAGTAAAGGTACAGTTACCCTTTAAAAAAACACAGGCAGAATGATTTTGTTGTTGGTCAACTGGCTTTCTGCTGGTGATCACTGGAATATGACTGTGAATATCAGATAAGAGTGCGTTGTTAAGATAACACACTGCCCCCTACTGTCAAGAGGCCGTGAGAGATTGAATACTACACTGCTATAATGTTCTGTAGTGCGTTGTTCTTTTGTTGCTAATAATAATAATAGCAAATCATAACCTTCTAGACGTCATTTTGTCTCAAAAGATACAGTCAATAGATTTATAGATTTGAGGATCCAGTGCCTAAATCCAATACATAATTAGTACTATTGGTATTACTGACAAAATGCATAGTGTACCAACCTAAATCTTTAAAAAAGTAAAAATCTTTGATTTCACAAATAGCGCTATGGGTTTTCAGGTTTAAATTTTTTTTTTTAATAAACTTTATTACATTATTTAAACGTATACAACAAAATACAAGGTGTAGTCTAAAGTACAGTTATAAGCCATAGTGAAGAAATCCATACCATTGGTTATTCTGTTTTCATGGGTTTGTTAATTTTGAAAAGAGGAACAAGTTGACCCACAAAATGGGTTCTATAAAACAGCACATTCTTATGATGCAGTCAGGTAGATGGTAGGCTGTTAGGGAGGTAATGAGTTAGCTAGTGCAGATATGGCTAAGATTGGAGATTCTAGAAGGTTTTATCTGAAACCCTATGCACAATAGTTGGAAATCTTAACACAATATTAAACCTGTACCTGATAAAAAGAGTAATACATCAACCTGTTGCATGCAAGGTTACTTATTTAGTTGTTTAGTATACAAGACTAGTGTGTGAGCAGACATATGTCACATTGTAATGCCCACTGGCTGAGTAAGAGAATAGGGTTAATAAAAGAGGGGGAGAAGTAAAGTGAGGTTTAGTAAATGGTGCTATGGATTGAGAGAGCACAGCAGCAGTTATCTCCTTTCATAAATAACGCTCTCAATGAAAATGGGACAAAGGTAAAAGTAGCGAAGGGAAGAGTGACTTCTCTGACTCATGCTTGCCTGTGTAAATGACAGCTTGAGCTATTGAGCACTGAAAACAACAGGCTTTTTCAACAGCAGATAAGAAGAAAACAAAATATTTGGAAAAGAGTATGAAGTCCTAGCTGCTGGTTGTAATTAAGAATATGTAATATTTCTATAAAATATCTAAAATTTACCTGACAACATTTTTCATCCTTCAAATCGTATTTTTTAAAATAAAGTGTATACAAATTCACCATGCATTCCCTTTTAAGCAAAAGTGCAGTTATAGAAAAGATACACTATTTGACGTAATAGTTCTAGTCTTTTTGGACCTGTGCTCTTGGAGGGTAACAGATTCCATATATTAGGATTTCTAGTTATACATGTGAGATAAATCTTCCAGCTAGTATATTGGGACCTATGATTATCATTTTACATTGTATTTCAAATATGAACATTTTTGAAGTATATTTCTAGATGCAACCATCCTTGTGAAACCGAACTGAATTATTGCACTGTTGTCAACTTGACAGCTACGATTAAGCACAGGATGCCTCCAATCAATTCTCATATGTCTACCCTTGTGAGATTCTTTGTGACTCACTGTTCATACTAAATTAAGTGCCAAGCAAAATATTGTGCCGGTTGCTATGTGACAGTTCATTCTGGACACATATTGAGATAAAGACTTCTTGACAACGTTATATGGACCACGTACTTTGCTAACACGAAGGTATCACATCTCACATTTGCCAAAGTAATCCGATAATTCTTATCATTGCAGGTCAAGGAGGTGGTAAATACATCTCATTTGAGGATCATCACTGGCACACTGATTGCTTCACATGTTCAAAATGCACTACTTCACTTGCTGGACAAAAATTCCTCCAAATGGATAATGGTATACTGTGCCTTGAGTGTGGCCACGACTTATAAATTCCTAAATGTGTAGTGTTGTTGATATGTAGTTTTAAGCTTCTGTATTGCAAATCACACATAAGCATGCATGTCTACCATGTGGGTCATACCATTTGGGTTCTTAGTTTTATCACTGGTTGTCTTAAATTATCTACTTAGATATTACGGCATTCCACACTATCGCAAATGCATTGGAATTCTAAGAGTAGTATAAAATACAGCCTTGAATATTTCAAACAGAGTCCATGGTTAAAGGTGCTTGAGAAACCAACAGTCCATAACAATGTTATAATGATACAGTAAGTGTATTAAAAGAAATCTGCTTGCCAGTATTTGAGATGCCAACAGTTTTTTATGTGAAGCCAAATTAAAAAGTGAATCTGTGTCTTTCCCATGCATGGTAAAGCAACAACTTCACTTTAATGCAGCAGCCTATACATACTTTCTTTATGCTACTTTCTGCCGCTGGATATGAGAAAAATGAATCAGTTCCCATCCCCTACATGACAGTGCTGATGCTTGGTAAATGGCTATTCAGGCACTAGGTGTTGTCACATGGGGTGGGGAGAGTCTTCAGCCCGTGTAAGCTCCAAGCTGTGACTCTCATTACTCTTTGTTGCTGAATGGGGCAGCAGGGGAGTAAAGTGATGGTAAGTAAAGGCTGCTGGTGGGACCAACATTAAAAGGAGAATTATGGGGTGAGTGAAAAATATTCAGCCGATGACTGACTTCCCAATCCTCTCCCTGGTAACTGTCAGTCACCGCTCCCTGAAGAGATTCCCCCCCTCCCCTCCTCGTTTCTCCAGCGCTGAGTGGAGGAACGGACTGGGGAGAGGGCGGGCACAGCTGGCTCTGCCTAGGGAGGCAGAGCTAGTTGCAATCAGCCTGTCGGGTGGATCTCGACAGTATTGCTGGGAACTGTCCTGGCTGCGGTGCAGCTCTGCGCTCTCAGCATATAGCGGGTAATAGCCCTCTATATGCTGAGTTTTGGGTCACCGGAGGACATAAGTATCAAAGAAGATCAAAGTAATAATAAACTCTGCAGAAAAACAATGACTTTACCTTGTACTGATGTGCTTGCAGAGATTTTTGAAGTATACTTCATGTCCAGTAGAAGATGCCGAAACTTTGCTTGGTGGCATGTGCAAACTGTAGACCCGTAGAAAGCATTACATAGTCTTCTCTACATAATTGTATCAAAATTATTGATAAGTAAAACAGAAGCATGTCCCAATGACCACAAAATATTCTTTAAAGTAAACAAGTCATAAGGGAACTATAGGGGCCACCATTGTTGATCCCCTTATGGAAAGGCTAGTATAGAAAATTGCATGGCATTTTCATTGGTATCGCAGGACGTGTTTCCCCTAAAAAGGTGTATACTGACCTAACCAAACACAATATGTAATGAAAATCATTTGAAAACCAGTCTGACAATATGAAATTTATCAACAGAACTTAAAGATTGTGACCATGGAGTTATGCAGCAAAAGCAAGGCAAGGGCAGCCAATTAGTGGGACTGATATCCGTGGGTAGTTAGATGTTATGTGAACTAGCAGTTATGCCCCACATCCCACTCTACACACTTATGTCTTGTGTCTGTAATGGTTTTTGATGGGTTAACGTGGTAGTAGGTGATTTTTGGCACACTGGGGGTTGATTTACGAAGGGTAAATAGGCTGTTCACTTTGCAAGGGAACATTCCCTTAGGTTTAGTGAATGTGATGAATTCACTTTGCAAAGAATACCAAATCATGAGCAAGGAAAATGAAAAAAAAAAAAACACTATTTTTGCTTGTACATCTTAGGATGATGGAAATCGCAGAGCGTCACTAAGTTAAGGGAAAATTACCTTGTAAAGTGAACAGCCAAAAGTGAACAGCCTTTAGCAAATTACCTCCTGGGTCTCAATTAGAAGGAAGAGAGGAAGTGAAAGAGATAGAATAGAAGTGCTACCAGGAAGCAGTAACTGATAGCTGAAAAGCACAAGTAAATGATGTGCCCTGGACTACATCATATTGGAACATTTTCTGAAATATAGGTTTTTGTTTACTGCACTCTAATATTCTATGTACTTATGTTCTAAATATCAATAAAACATGCTATGACAATAAGCAATGCATATAAATATTATTTTGCAATGTCCTGAACATACAATTTGTTTCCCTTCACTTCCCGTTCTGGAGATGCAACAGGAAATTATTTTACCTCATTTCCTGCTCTAGTGACAACTCTAAAATTCTGGATTTTCTATCTCTGTCTCAGTGAAAGAAAAAAAAAGAGGAGGAATGAGTCTCCACCTCCTGGGAGAAAAAAAATGTCTTTGCATGCACTTTAACTAGCTCCCGGCCGGCGGATCGCTTGTATGGGGCAACGATCGGTGTGTGTGTGTCCCTCCACGGTTCCCACCCTCGTCGCTGTCCCGCTGGTCGCCGGCTCCGCTGTGCCCAGTGCGAGCATGGTGCCTGTGTAACAGGGGATCAGAGGGAGATCGGAACACGAGCTCCCTGCGGTCCCCTCTGCGCTGCAAGAATGCGGAAGTGTTGTATATTGCATCACTTCTGCATTCTTGTGTCACTCTCCAGCTTCAGAAGCTGGAAAGAAGCTGATGGAGCAGATCTCTGCTTAATCAGCTTCTTTTGGGGGGTCCTAGGTGACATTAGGGGTCTTGGAGACACCTGACGTCTCCATAAAGAGGACCTGTCACATATTTTGCTATCACATGGGGGGGGGATTATTAGCCCCCGTATTTGATAGCAATACAGGTTTAGTAAAAAAAAAAATAGCAAAACAAATTAAAGCCCCACCCCCAAAAATGTTAAGTTACACATAAAAGAATAATAATTAAAAAAAATGTAAGTCCCCACCAATACATACACATGCAAACATGTGTCGGGGGCGCATACGTTCAAAAACTACGATTGCGCCCATTACGCCGCACTTGTTACATATTGCCGCGAACGTCACAGTGAGAGCAATAAGTCTAGGGCCATCAATCACTGATAACACTAAACTGATGAGCTGTAAAAGCTTTTAAAGCGTGGCCTATGGCCAATTTTGGGTATGGTAGTTTTATGCGATTTCGCGGGTACGCGCAATTTTAAAGCTTGACATGTTTGCTGTCTATTTACCCGACGTGACCCCGACTTTTATATTTTACCAAAAAATTGGGTAATAATAATAAAATGTTTCCTAACATAAATGTAAAAAAAAAAAAAACTTTTCAAAATTTTCAGCAATTTTTCCTAATTATAGTAAAAAATAAAAACCCCAGTGGTGTTTAAATACCACCAAAAGAAAGCCCTATCTGTCCCCAAAAAAATGGTACAACATTCATTTCAGTACAGCGTTGCATGACGGAATAAACGTCAGTCAAAGTACCGCAGCGCTGAATACTAAAAAATGGCCTCGCCAGGAAGGGGGTGTAAACACCAGGTCAGCAAGTGGTTAAGAAGCCATTGTACATAAGACATCATACATAAGCACCAAGGAGTGTCCATTGTCTATTCTCTATGGTGAATTGCTGGCTGTGCTTTATTATACCATATCATTGTGAAATGAACACATATCCCAATATCCCACTTGCAGTTGACTTCAATAGCTGGAGTAACATTAATGCTCAGCTTTCAGTTGACATCGCATGGACACTTTCCACGCTGTACCTGACAATTTCGATAAACACTAATGAATATTTTGACTACCAAAGTACAGCTTTCATTTAAGGTGATTTGTGATTGCTATTGCCTGCCCTGGAGCATACTCGTATAAAAGGAATGAAAAAACATTTGACAGTCTACATTTTGTATTCTCCATCTTCAGAACATTAGGACAGGCTAATCATTTTCACTTCTTTTTTTCATTTTAAGGAATATTTTTTGCTACATTTACTTACATTTGCTTAAAAAAGTAACTTGTAATTTTGTATTACAAATTAAGTTCTTAAAACCTTGATAATATGATGTTATTAGTATTGTCTGTATTGGGCTTATTTTATTCCATACTATTTCTAAACCATTTTATGGAGAAGAATACCTAAATTAAAAAGATTTTATGTTTAAAAAAAATTAGTTTTATTATCAGGCTTAATTAACTAACTTCATTGATTAATTAACAGATATTCATATGTTACATTGTTTATTATTTTACTAAAATATTTGGTTGCTATTTTTATATTGAAACGCCGCTCAACAGTGCACCCTAATGATAAACATGCAACGTGTAGTCTTATATTGCATAGACTAGGACAATAGTAACTGTTGATAAGTGAAATGTCACCTGGGGGTTTATCAGATGGCGTGTGATACATAAAATATACTGAATTACTTTTAAACAGTTACAGTATATATTATTACAATTATGATTATACAGGATTTATATAGCGCAGCGCTTCACAATACAAGGAGGACATTCAGCTTACAAGACAAGATGGTTAGGAGGGCCCTGCCCATAAAATATTATGCCTTTAAAAAGAGTGAGAGCATAGGAGATGGGCATACATTTGTTACTTGTCTTTATAGTAAATTTACAGCAATCACTTTAGGCCAGCAGAGGCACATGTTACCTTACCACAAATGCCCAGAAAACATTTCAGAATTGTGGCTAGATGATCACTTTATAACTTTACAGCACAGATGTTCTGAGTTCACTTGCATGCAGAGATACAATCTTCACAGGGTTAATATTTTCTTCCTGTTACTAAATGGCTCAGTTCTCTTTGGCCTAAACCCAACATATTAATAAAACAGATTGTGGCACCAGGATCCAGGTACTGGTATCTTTTGGCACAGAAACGATTGGTCATCCGCACAAGGTTTCTGACACAGGACAGATGATTATGCAAGCAAGTAAGTGTACATTAGGGATGCACCAATACTATTTTTTCCAGACCAAGTATGAGTACCGATGATTTTCTTGCCGATTCCAATTACCAATACTTTTTTTTGTGTCATGTGACAGTTTTCTAAAATACTACAGATGGATGATTTAAGGACAGTGGTGAAGAGCCAGGGCCCGGTCACAGCTGCAACCACTGCGGCCCTGGTAGTTCTGTCACTGACTCCAAACTGTAGAGGTACTACAAATCTCAGCAATACATTACACAGCAATGCAGAATGGCTACAGAGGACTACAAATCCTCTGTAGCCAGTGCCAGCAATACAATATTCAGCAATGCAGACTACAGATCCCGGAAATACATTCTACAACAACGCGGAATACCACCAGCTATAGAAGACTAGAAATCCCAGCAA